ATCCTGTGGGCTGGTACAGGAACACCCCCCAGGGTTGATTGGCCAAGGGCTATTGTCCCGCCCATGTCCATATTTCAATAAATTGAAGACCCTGAGATATGGACGGTGTGATTCGTATGGAGCCGGTTCTATTTGACTGACAAATCGCGGACTCTCTGACTTGCTCCAGTCGCAGGATAAATCTTGGTAAAAGTTTTATTTCTGTTGTAGCCAATTGTGTGTCTTTTTGCATTTTCTGCATTGCCCACTTTCGGGATATTAAATCATAAAATTAATAAGTGACTTCTGGGTACTGAAGCTTGGTCTCATATCTCCAGAGAGATTGTTGTATTGCAGTGTCTATATATGCACGGTCAAGTTCATTGCCAATCTGTATTCAATTGCACTGCGTGTTGGCAAATTGCATGCAGATTGTAAAGTAGCAGATCTGCCAGACGGAGATCTGTGTGTGTGTGTGTGGTGGCCCAGCAGACTAGTCTGTGGACAAAATGTTGGGTGGTGGCAACCACTTCCTTAAATTGAACCTCTCCAAAACCGAGTTTCTTGTCTTCCCCCAGCCCGGACACCACCCCCCATTGATTTCTCCGTCACATCCAACAACGCTACCATCAAACCCGCCCTGCAGGCCAGAGTACTGGGTGTCATTCTGGACTCCAACCTATCCTTCCAGCCCCAAGTCCAATCTTTAACAAACTCGTGCAGACTCCACCTCCGCAACATCGCCAAAATCCGCACGTTCCTAACCCCAGAAACCACTAAAACAGCTCATCCACTCCCCTCATCATATCACGCCTCGACTACTGCAACTCCCTCCTCACTAGCCTGCCTCGCCGCTGGCTATCCCCTCTTCAGTCCATCCTGAACACGGCTGCCAGACTCATTCACCTTTCCAACCGCTCTGTCTCCGCCACCCCCCTTTGCCAATCCCTCCACTGGCTTCCGATTGCGCAACGGATCAAATTCAAAATCCTAACGCTGACGTACAAAGCTGTCCACCATACTGCCCCGAACTACATCACTGACCTAATATCCAAGTACCGCCCCCAGCACGCACACTCCGCTCCTCACAAGACCTCCTTCTCTCTAGTTCCCTGGTCTCCTCCTCCCATGCCCGCCTCCAGGACTTCTCCAGGGTGTCACCCAGTCCTCTGGAACTCCCTGCCCCAACCCATAAGATTTCACCTACTCTCCTCTCCTTTAGGCGCACCCTGAAAACCCATCTCTTCAGGGAAGCCTACCCCACCCCCTGCTAACTTGCCTCCCTCCTCCACTCTTCCTACCACTCCATCCCCCACAGCTATCTCCTCCTGTGCCACCACCCCCTCCCTCCTAGATTGTAAGCTCGAAAGAGCAGGGCCCTTGATCCCCTCATGTTTTGCATTGTATTGTTCTGTCACATGTTCTGTCTCCCTTTGTAATGTACAGCGCTGAGCGAACTATTGGCGCTTTATAAATACTGTATAATAATAATAATAATAACCCTTAGCGTGCACCAGATTGTATATAAGATTCCTATCTGCCTGTGTGTGATCAGCCAGATGGATTGGAGTAGAGTCTCTCTCTAGTGGTGGCCAGAGGCAGTGCGGGCTGTGAAAGTGTATCATGGCCAGTCTTATATGTTCAAAGTAAGTCCCCCTCATTCCCTCTTTACCCCAAGTCACGGCTGGATGTGCATGCCTTGGTTAGCTAGTCGCTGTGGGCGTGTGTGTGTGGGTTGGATATGTGACAGTATAATATATATGTAAATTGATGGCGCTCTATAAGTACCTGAAATAAATGTTAAAAAAAAGAAAAAATGGCTGCTATGAATCTTTAAAGGGGAAAGAAGGAACTGGCACATTATCAGCTGCACTCACTTGAAGGGGGAAAATGCTGGCCTTTTGCTGACAAATTGTCTCATTGGGGTGCTGCTCCCACCAAGCTCTTTGGTGTGCATTTTCTCATGCATGTAGTTCCCAAATGGCTGGCACTTTTACCATAGCTGATATATTGCAGGCAGAGGCTCTCAGCAGCAGATGCATTTATAAAAAAGGCCCACACTGCAACCCCCTTTATATCTGCTGCCTATTCAAGTATTTGCGTACTGTCCTAGTGCTATTCAGTTTCTACCAAACACATACCTGAAGACTATATTTTGAATATTTTGAGAATAATTGGGTGTATATCGGGGGTCTCCAAACTTTCAAAAAAAGTGCCAGTTTACTGTCCTTCAGACTTTAGGGAGGCCAGACTGTGGCCATTGAGAATATAAATTTTCCTACCGTAAGTGGGAGTAAACATTGCCTCTTTGGTATTAGGGGAAAGAATAATGCTCCATTGTTGGAGTCATTGACAGGAATAGTGCCCCATCATTGGTGTCAGTGGGAGGAAAAGTGCCCCATTGTTGGTGTCAGTGGGAGGAATAGTGCCCCATCATTGGTGTCTGTGGGAGGAATAGTGCCCCATCATTGGTGTCAGTAACAGGAATTATGCCCTATTGTCAGTGTCTGTCAGAAGAAAAGTGTCCAAAGGGCCAGATAAAGGCAAGCAAAGGGCCGCATCCGGCCCTCGGGCCACAGTTTGGAGACCACTGGTATACAGGGCTGGGAGAGGGTTCAGACAATAGAATGTGGAGTTATGGTTTGAAGTGTTTTTTTGCACTCTGTTTTGATATTTTAATAAACTTTTAAGACAATACAGTGTAAGGTCCTGCAAAAAAGGAACCTTACAAATTATTGCACTAAACGGTTTTGCCACAGGCCAATTTGTACACAGTTGGATACTTTAGGTTTTTTTATTTCAAGAGTAAACGTTTCTACTAATTTTAGATTTAATCTAATCTAATTAATTAGATTGGGGTGCTGCTGTATTTAAACCAAGCAATAATGTAAAATTAGAAAAATCTGTTACACATCCAAATTATGTCATGCCAGAATAAAGTGTCACTGATGCTGTTTATGAAAATATTACTCTTTATGTAACACAACATACAAATTAAAGACATCTGCCAAACATGTAATTGAAAAGAGCGGTGGTTTTCTCATTTTGCCCTCTTTTCATTGGTGTATATCTCTATAGCCTTGAAAGTGATAAGAATTGATTACCAAGACTTGCTTCCCCCACCATAGACTATAATAGAGTTTGGTTTTCGGTTTGGAATTTCAGACTTCACACAGAGATCCACAAACTTTCCACTAATGGAACCCAGATGCATTGGGGTTGATTTACTAAAGGCAAATAGGCTGTTCACTTTGCAATTTGCCCCAGAGCTTAGTGTAATATGGTAAAATTTCATTTTCAAATAATGCCCAATCACATGCAAGGAAAATGAAAAAACAAAAATTGTACATGATTAAATGATGGAAGTCAGCAGAGTTTCATATCATTTACTAAATTCTAGGAAAATAAAAAAAAAATTAAAAATCTTACAAACATTTTAACTGCTTCACTGAAACAAGTTTCAATATTATGTATCTTTTCCAGAGATCATTATAGTAACCTTTACTTGTTTTTCTATCGATCTTCGAAATTAATCAAATTGAAAATATTGTATTGTAAGAGAAACAAATGTTTTGTTCAGTATTTATAAAGCTTGGTAAATTGCTTATATACTTGACAGATAAATTACTCATACATGTTAGCCTTCAAATAATCTACTGGTTTGCATAAAGGATCAAGACAGTGACAGATAAAACAACCATGTCTATATGATACATGAATGTAGGACCTCTTCTAAAAGTCACCTGGAAAGAAAAGGTGCATCAGTAATTCTGTTGTCTAGTTTCAATTACAGATAAATTGTTTGCACTAGTCTCTACACTACAGAAGAAGGCATTGATGGTCCCAACGATTTTTCTTTAAATGCAAATCACATACATTAGCTGAATCTGCAAAATGTGAATTCATTTCTCTCCATTTATCTTTTTAACAACCACGGCCCTTTAAGCAACCAGCTGCCTGAACTTGCCATAATGCAGAACAAAAGTCACAAAACATTTGTGGTCCCTCAAGAGAATGCATGTTTGACTATGGCTGAGCTGTGTTTGTGTACCTGAGCAACATTAAGAATAGTAGGAAATTATCCGTCATTGGCCTACATATAATTCACTATCTGTGTATATCCACATACAAATGATTTTTTATATTCTGGCTGAATGTGTCAGAGGGTATATTTATATATTTATTTTGTTATATGGCATCATCACAATCTGCAGTTTGTACAATCTGGGAAAATTCTATAAGGGTAACAAAAACTGGGAAAGAAACCCTAGAAGAGCCGTGCCCACAGGATCTTATAATTGATGTAAAATTAGATTTATTATTAAGAGAAATTTTCCATTGTGTTCAGACCATTTAACAATAGGTAATTTTTCTAATTCATCAGTGTGTGCATTTCTAGCTGGCAGATGGAGCTTTGTGGCTTTTTTCCCAAAAGCTTCTGTATACAACAAGTACCTACATAGTTTTATTATTACCATATTTTTCGCTCTATAAGACGCACTCCCCCCCCCCCCCCCATAATGAGCGAAAATGTCTGTGTGTCTTATGGAGCGAATATGGAGCTGCCGGCCCAGTATTCCCACCGCCACCATGTTAGAATACCTGTCCAGCCGCTCAGCTCCACTGTGCAGAAGAACCCGCTCCTCGGTCCTACCTGTTCCTCGGTCCAGCAGTGTCCTGCTTTCACCGGCCGTCTTCTCTCCCTCGCGTCAGCATCTTCAGTGTGGGCACCCGGCTGCGACAGCTTGCAGCTTCACAGCCGGGTGCCCACTGCGCATGCGCAAGCAGTGCTGCATTTTTGTGAATGGCCCTGTAGTCTTCTGGGACCTGTCACATGTCCCACAAGACTAAGAGGAGGGAGGGGGGAGGACAACTCCACAGAAGTGGGAGCGGGTACCTGTCAAATTCAGGTACCCCCCCCCCCCCCATTCCCCAAAGGTCAGCAGTCTCTGGTCATCTTCCGTACTGTGCCCGCAGTCTCTGGTCATCTCCTCTACTGTGTCCGCAGTCTCTGGTCATCTCCTGTACTGTGTCCGCAGTCTCTGGTCATCTCCTGTACTGTGTCTACAGTCTCTGGTCATCGCCTGTACTTTGTCCGCAGTCTCTGGTCATCTCCTGTACTGTGTCCGCAGTCTCTGGTCATCTCCTGTACTGTGTCCACAGTCTCTGGTCATCTCCTGTACTGTGTCTGCAGTCTCTGGTCATTTCCTGTACTTTGTCCGCAGTCTCTGGTCATCTCCTGTACTATGTCCGCGGTCCCTGGTCATCTCCTGTACTATGTCCGCAGTCTCTGGTCTTCTCCTGTAGTATGTACGTAGTCTCTGGTCATCTGTAGTATGTCTTCAATCTCTGGTCATCTCCTGTAGTACATCCACAGTCTCTGGTCATCTCCTGTACTATGTTCGCAGTCTCTGGTCATCTCCTGTACTATGTCCGCAGTCTCTGGTCATCTCCTGTACTATGTCTGCAGTCTCTGGTCATCTCCTGTACTATGTCTGCAGTCTCTGGTTATCTCCTGTACTATGTCTGCAGTCTCTGGTCATCTCCTGTACTATGTCTGCAGTCTCTGGTTATCTCCTGTACTATGTCCGCAGTCTCTGGTCATCTCCTGTACTATGTCTGCAGTCTCTGGTCATCTCCTGTACTACGTCTGCAGTCTCTGGTTATCTCCTGTACTATGTCTGCAGTCTCTGGTCATCTGTACTATGTCCGCAGTCTCTGGTCATCTCCTGTAGTATGTCCACAGTCTCTAGTCATCTCCTGTACTACGTCTGCAGTCTCTGGTTATCTCCTGTACTATGTCTGCAGTCTCTGGTCATCTCCTGTACTATGTCCGTAGTCTCTGGTCATCTCCTGTACTATGTCTGCAGTCTCTGGTCATCTACTGTACTATGTCTGAAGTCTCTGGTCATCTCCTGTACTATGCCTGCAGTCTCTGGTCATCTCCTGTACTATGTCCACAGTCTCTGGTCATCTCCTGTACTATGTCCACAGTCTCTGGTCATTTCCTGTACTATGTCTGCAGTCTATTGGTTCAGAATTTTTTTTCTTGTTTTCCTCCTCTAAAATCTAGGTGCGTTTTATGGTCAGGTGCGTCTTATGGAGCGAACAATACGGTAATTAGAATTAAAAATAAAAAAACTCTGCCTATCAAGATTACCTGTTCACAGCTCACATACAACTTTGGTACAGGGGAAGGCAAATTTCCTGGGACTTTGTTGACTTTTAGTTGTAAGAATATAATTCCATGGTTTTTTTTTTCTTTACTAATTTTGCCAGTACTAACTCACAGATGTTACAGATGTTACTGTAAAGAATCCCTTCTCAAAATAATGTTAACATCTTCTATCCTCCATATGCAGCTTATGTCCCTTTGTTTAACTGTTAATGTCCAAATGACATTTTTTATTACTGTCTGTGTTGGAAAAATTTCTCATAATGATGTGGTCACTGGAAAAAAAAAAATGGGAACATTTCAAGAGGGACCCAGACAGCAATAAAAACTCAAAAGTGGGTTTTATTCCTTCAGCACTCTATGAACTCTTAAAAAATTGTATTGGTTGGAGTTCTAGTTTAACTAGCTGTCAAAAATCTATGTCTTATTGCCTATTTCCTATTGCCTTTGTCTTTTGTACTGCCTTTAGCAAAAATACTAAATATGCTTACAACGAATGACGGGTACTTATGGGCCGAATGTCAGCCAAAATCAATAATTTCAGTAGAAACTGGCCGTCTTTCGGCCTATGTGTATAGCCGCATGTCTGATAGCAGAAGATCTTACAACTGTCTTCTGTTGAATGAGCATGCTTAAAAACCAGCAGCCAACCAGCATCGGATCAGCACTCACAGCCAATGACTGCAAGTGCTGACCAGTGTGCTCTGGCAGGGCAGTGGTCGCCCTGTCCGAAAACAATAGCACAGTGAGGGAGATCTCTGCTCTAACATCATGTGTTTGTACAGCGATCTGTCAGTTTTTGTTTGCTCTGCCCGCTGGGTTGAAAAAAAAAACCTACAATAGGATGTGCCAGGCTTAGGAATTGCACATTACTATAATTACTGCAATCAGGAATGTGGTCCAGATTAATTGCACAGTGGGTTTGTGGCAAATCAGGGGGGTTGAGTTTCTGGCAAACTTAAGTAGAAATTCACGGGACCAAATTTATTTTTTTATTAGCAATTTTCAATAGAGCTAACTATACATATAAGGGCAAAGAGATCTGGCACAAAATGCCTTATACAAAGATGTCACATACAGTCATAGCTCTCCATGTATATAGTACTATCAATGAAAATAACAACAGTATACATCCCAATGGAGATATACAGTAGAGATGCATAAGGAAACAGAGTAGTAAAACATCGCACACTGCTACATTTTTTCAGATTGAAAGAATTTGTAATCAGTTGTATTCCTGTCAGACCCACTATCCTTATGCCCCTTAATAAAAGGGCCAGATTTTCCAATTATGTTTGTAATTATTCATCGTGTCCATGATGGTAAGGTAAATTTGTTCCATTCTTTGTTGCATCTTGTACGTGCACACGCACGGCGAAGATTGGCGCCAGATGGGCTATTTGAAGAGTGCCTCTGCCCATGTTAGGTGCTGACTGGTCTTCACCTCCCCAGTGTCCTGCTTGTTCCTGTGTGATTCTTTTGTTGCTGACCCAGCTTGTTCCTGACCTGACTCTGATTGCTCTCCTAATTGATACTGCTTTTTTTTTTTGAAGAAGAAGAAGAAGGGGACATACCCCGAAAGCTTGTCCTTAAAATTGTATGTTAGTGCAAATAAAAAAAGTATCACGTCAGTACTCAATTGTTCCATTCTTTGTAAAACCTGAGACCAGGGAACAGTGGAGGAGTGCCAATTTAGGGCTATCGCCCATTGGATAGCACTAAAAGGGGTATGAACCAATCTTTGGCATGGGGTGGTATATCTGGCAGTGTTGAAAAAAAATATGCACAAAGGCAAAGTCAAAGTAAGATGTAGTCCAGTGATTTGGGCTGCTTTAGTGGCGGCCTGTTTCCAGAGTGGTTTTAGAGACTTACAACTCCATAAGATGTTGTAAGGGATTTCCAGTGAGACGAATTGTGAATAGAAATGCGCATGCGCATAGAAACGTCCAGAGAAGAGTGGTCGGTTGTGCGCATGCGTGCGGAAATGTGCGATTGCGCACACCCACGTTCACACGCACGGCGAAGATTGGCGCCAGATGGGCTATTTAAAGAGTGCCTCTGCCCATTTTAGGTGCTGACTGGTCTTCAGCTCCCCGTGTCCTGCTTGTTCCTGTGTGATTCCTTTGTTGCTGACCCGGCTTGTTCCTGACCTGACTCCGATTGCTCTCCTGATTGATACTGGTTCCCAACTTCGGCTCTGCTCCTGACCTTGGCTTTCCTTCTGATTCTGTACTGTGCTGTCTGCATTTTGATGACCCTGGCTATTCCTATGAAACTGCTCCTGTCTCTCACCCTCACTTCCTGCCTTGCTCTGGTGCACACCTGGCGATCTACAAAACCCGCTCTGCATGTCACTACTGTGCCTGAATGAGAAGATCATCAGTCTTCAAAGGTCATCATCTGTAAGAGCTGCAAACAATATCTACTGGCGCTTTTGTTCCCCTGGTCCCTAGACTCCCTCTGTTCCAACTCCAGTGGGGGTCAGGGCTAGTGACACAAGTGAGGCAGACCTCGTCATTTCAGTCTCCCATCAGGTATGTGACAGAAGTAGAGAAACCTCTCTCCGACCTCTGTCAGGACACCCCTAAAGCATGTCTCTGGGACTGCAGGAAAAATCACATGTATTTTAGCAGGGGTGAGATACCATCAGATATGAAGCTTAATAACCGTCTCTTTCACAGCAATAAAGCGTGTGCATTTGTGCATATTACAGAGCATTTCCAGCTAGTCCTCTGAGGAGTATTGTTTGCTGGTTTTTGTTTTCATTGATTAATCGCAGAAGGCTTATCTGATTGGTGCATACATTAATATAGCTATAAATGGTGGAGCTGGTACAATTATCTATAGATAAAAGAAAAATGGCATATGATTTCCAATTCGGAATGTGAGATTCCAGAACTCAGAGAATATTGAGAAGTATAAAAAATGTCTGATCTTCAGGTATTTATAGGAATTCCAAATGTGCAAAAATGTATTGTTGTTGGAGATAAGAGAATGAACAAAAGTGAGACTCCTTTATCAATGGTTCAGGGGAAACCAGGTCACAATCCATTCAAAGTGAGAAATCAGATCTGCAAAGGTACGCTGGGGAAATTTAGGTTCCCCTAGAAAGGAAGCTAGAGGAGGGGCAGTTGAATGTAATTGATATTTTCCTCGATACAGTGTCCATAACTGTAATTGTTAACAGACTACTTCATTTAAGGGATCTAAATCTTTGTGAAGAACAGAATTAGACCAGAGTAGCCCAGGGAGGTAGTACGTATTGATCGACGAGCATTCAAACCATAGCAAGGGTATATATAGGCAGAGGGTGCATGCCATTGCGCCAACTGGGTGAGTCTGGCCGTGAGGTAATAATGCCACAGGTTGGGTAGGCCTAAGCCTCCTTGCGATTGAGGTCTATATACCGGAGGCTTCCCAAATGTGTTCTTATACTTTGCCATATAAATTAGTTCATTGCCGACTGAACCATCTCAATTGTGTGAGGGCTCTAACAAAGGACAGTAATTTAGGGAGAATAGACATCTTCACTGCAACCACTCTTCCCATTAAAGGGATATGGTAAGATGACCATAGCTTCAACCACTGCTTGATGTGGGAGATCACCTGTGGGTAATTAGAAAAGTACATGGCACAAAGAGATGAGGCTAAAGGAATCCCGAAATATGGAAGTGATTCGCTGCACCAAGAGAAGACAAAATCTCTGACAGGGGCGTGTCCGAGCCACACAGGAAGATGGCTGCCTGAGAGAGGAGCTCCTCACAAACCCTGCTGTAATAGCAACCCGAAATGACATCAGGCATCAGAGATAGCCGTGACATAAACAGCAACAGACCTCAGACCTGTAACGCTTACCACCCGCGATGACAAAGGGGAAGAAAATCACTAAAGGACCGAAGAATCTCACAGAGTTCTTCTCACAGCCTCACACAGCAGATAGGCAAGATGGCGCCGGCTCTAACACACAGGAACTGTCAGAGCTGCAACAGGAAGACATCATTATCCTCATCAGCCTCTGACAAAGATATAGCTGCTCTTCTGTCACCAGTGAAAGAAAAGAGCAAGAAACCAGCTTCATCTCCTCTCCTATCACCATGTACAAAGGCTCCTGTAAGTAAAAAGAAAACAATTCACACTTCTGCTGAAACAACAGATCTGACTGAAGCAATACATTTAATGGCAGAGCTGCCAGCTTCAGACTCCCCTGTCACAGCCATTACACTGAAACAGATGCTATTGTCCCCTCATAAAGACATACAATCTGATCTTCAAAAATCTGTACATTTTATTCAAAAACAAGTCACCCAAATTGAAAAACGTACAGATGCAGCAGAAAGGAAAATTCAGGAATGTGTTGTCGCACACAATTCCTTGATAGATGCTTATGAGGCACAATCACAAGAAATCATAAAAATTCAAGAAAAAAATGGTTGACATGGAAGACCGCACAAGGAGGAATAACGTTAAAATCAGAGGGATCCCTGAATCAGTCACTCCGCCAGAGTTATCCATCTACCTGGGGAGACTACTGAAAACACTTCTACCAAACATGTCACAA